CATTAGCAGCTCAGTTATGACAAATACCAAAATACCCCTTCCTCTCAGCATATTTTCTGACAATATTCAAATGCCTCACAGGTCTAACATTAACATCTATACATTCATTCAAAACTTTAAGACATAATTAAGACATAAAGATTTCATTCCAAGTAGGAGACCACAGAAAAAATTGTTCTTGTTAAAATTTAAAAAAAAGAAAGAAAGAAAGAATAAAAGCAACAGCAGTGGTTGCAATGTTATTAAAAATACCCACTGGGCCTCTTCCCATTTGTGCAGTGTGTCGAGGGCATCTATGTGCTCCCTAGTTAACAAACTGCACGTGTGTCTATGCAATATTTACATTTACATGTGTTACGTGTCTCAGGGAACTGATTTTGGGAGAGCAGTGTGAGCAAGTTTGTATCCAGTCATGGTTGATTATCTGTCAGTAATTTTTTTTAAATGGAAGTATTCTAGCTCTCTGCAATTTTATTTTTAGCTTGATAAATTAGTACATATTTAATTTGGAAAAGATTGTGAAGGGCTGCAGTTCAGTTATTTTTCTGTTCAGAAATAAAACTGACAACTTTATTTTGCAGTCTCACTCTGTCTGATCACCTTTTCAATCTAGTGTTTTAAAGAGACATTCGACCTATGACTGAGTGAACTCTGTAGAGTGATCTGTAGTCACAGAGCATTAAAAATGCAGTGGAGCAGGCTTAGAAACGCCAGCTGTATCTGATATAGATGTTCAGACAATAACAGTCACTTTCCGCAGATAAATAACAGATAAATAGTGACTGCCTGGCACCATGACCACAAAAACATTGTTTTAGGAAGTAGCAGAGACTACATTGAACCTACAGTGACAAACACTAAGGTCAGTGGCTCCACATTTTCTGCTATGACCCAGGAGCAAACCAGTGTTGGATCTGAGCTATCCCACGCTGTATCTGGTTAATGTAGAAGTCTGCATTTCTGGAGAAGTCCTGACAGACCGAAGACTGGGCATCGCCCAAAGCACAGTAAAGGGCGGTGCCCCCCACACTGATAAAAACAGTAACCAGGCAAAGCAGGAAGAGAAGCAGGCAGGAGTCGCCACTGCCGACATCTACAGAGAAAGAGATACAGAGAGTTATAGAGATAAATACACAGGATTAATGTGTGCTGGAAATTTGCTGCAATTCGTCAACTATTTTAAACACTCTCACAATGGACTGCCACAGCTGGTGTAATTTAACCTGTCCAGTATTAGAAATGCAGCCACTGCTCTCTTACACTATTTCTGTGTTTATAGAGCGATATGAAACTTAAACCGTCAACAATAAAAGACAAAAACATACCAGGCTCATAGTGGTCATCAGGAACTTTAAAGCGGACACGTCGTTTGGCAGTGGGTTTCTCAGGTCGAGGGTCTGAGCTAGAAGAAGCACTCACGTCGTCTAAGCAGACCTTTCGCTTCTTTAATATGGAGACAAGGCCAGAGGCGGGTGATACCTGAGAAACATAAGAACAACCAGAAATGTTAGCCTGGGTAGACACATCAATCAGTATAAGCACAACTTATATTTACATCATTAAATCTTTTCATACTCTCAGACTGAGTCTTACAGAGCGTGCACCACACCAGCCATGTCCACCAGGTGGCAGCACACCACACAATCAGCAGTGCTGAGTTTTGAACCTCTTTGTCAGTGCTTCCTTGTAACAGAAGTTATGCACATTAGAGCTTAGATGTTGCCAAATACAGTGCAAAAGCTGTTCAAATATAGATTACAGGGGCAAATTAATGTTCATCGAGCAGTTGTGCTTATCGATGAGGTAATAGTTATGTCATCCAAAAGGGTGTGGTTCATGTAGGTCAAATGTTACAATTCTGCCATGAATCATAAATGTCTCTTTTCATATCACCTCCACAGATAAGCAGTTTTTATTTTTATATGCATTATTTTTGGTGCTGGAACAAAAAGACGTATTAAATCAAACTAAAAAAACATAACAAGGTGTTGCCCTCACTACTGCCTCTGTTTTTTTCTTGGTGGAGAGTAGTTAAATGTCAAACTGGGTTTCACATCAACAAAATAAATCCATCATGGGTATCAGTAATGGTTAGGCAATGGCATTAGCTTTGTTTCAACATAGCAACATGCCTCTGATAATGGAGGGCCTAGAAGGGCAAACACAAACTGAGTCAATCCACACAGACAAGAATGTAAAATGTCCAGCAGACAAAATGTGTTTACGGCCTGCTGTTTCCATCTAATTTAACCTTTAATAAGACTGAACACAGATGCATTTTTTAAATTCAGCCTTTAGGGAAAGGTTAAGTTGCTGATTTGAATGATAGGAATTACATGACAATAACATGCCTTTCTTTTCATCCTATTGGACTAACAGAGTGTCCAAGAATTATCCAATTTAAGTTAAATGCCAACATTACATTTGTATATTACATAACCCAATGTACAAAGGCATCTGTATGTGTGCAATGCATCTGTACAGTCTATCAAACTAAACTTGCTAGCATTAACTGATGCTTATAATACGCCACACTGTTTTCCAAATTTGCTCAGCGCTGGTTTCATCAAATCAAGATTTCAAAAAGCAGGGGGCGATTTGATGGTCGCCATGTCCATCTTTAACATACAGTCCATGCAAAGTCACTGAAGACATAAGGAAATAGTGAATCTACTAACAACATGTACTCACCTCCTCTACAGTGATGAGTTTCGCCATTGCATCCAAAGAGGGAGCTTCTCTAATGATGTCAGCTTGGTCTAGATCATAGTCCTCCTCCTCTTCCACTTCCTTCATCTCTGCATGTGGTTCCAGCTGCTTCATGTGAGCCTCGTGAGGAAGGGTTACCTCGTGGTGCAGGGAGGCTTTAGTGCTCTCCTGCAGTAATAGGATACAGATAGAACTTAAATGTCAATATACAGTTATGAAGCTGTAATCCATTTTGTTGCTCTGCTCTCTGGTGTAACACACTCTGCTGTAACACTGACTGAGGCCTATGAAGGCAGTGAAAACTGTTCCATTTGCTTTTGTTTTTGAATACTATTGTACCCAAAAACAAAGACAAAGGAGGCTGCATTTGCTTTAAAACAGGTTTTCATGTTTGATCTTATTTTAGAAAATACAGAAACTGAATTGGCCAACACAAAGTACCAAAAGCAATGCAAACTTCATCAACGGAATAAAACAGGTACTGACTGGGCCTTTTAACAGTGCTACATTTTAGGAACCAAACAAGGAACTCCTAGATAATATTAATAACAGATACTGACTGAACTGTGTAGTTCCTTTAACTGTTTCTTTAAATATATGTAATAAAAATATGTTAAAGCTAAATGAAGTGAGTCTTAAGTAGCCAAAATCATATATACCTGCATCTCCACATGTAGCCTCTCCTGAGCTCGGGCATCCTGATACAGCTGTTGTATCTCCACCTCTGCCCCGCTGCACACAGTCTCTACTGGGAGAGTTTTCTGACTCACGGAGGACACCCCTTCCTTTTTCTTCTCTTCCCCTTCTTCCTCCTCTCCCTCATCTTCCATTTCCAAAGCGTCCGTTGCCTCTTCCACGTCACCCCCCTCTTCTTGCTCTTCTGCCTCTGTTTCCTGTGCTGGACCTAAATCTTGTCCCTGCTGCTCTGCAGGTTTGGACTGATCCAACTCTTCAGCTGTAGAGGGGTGCAGCCTGTTTCCTGAAATGGTGCATCCTGCCCCTCCTTCTGCCTCTCTTCCCTCTCTGTCGTTGCCTTGCTCATCAGTGAGCTGAGATCCATGGAAACCATTTCTCCCCTCTGACTCCATTGGTGGGTGTTCCCTGTCCTTGCCGGAGATCTCAGGGGAACTGAGACCATCAGTCAAATTAACGGAGGGCATGACTGAACAAGAGGTGTCTTCGGCTCTTTGCTCCATCCCTCCTTCAACCTGATGGTCTGCATCAGACAACACAGTTTTAACAGAAATGAATAAAACCAGGCATCAGTAACCTTAAAACCAACTTAAGACCAACCCAAAGCCTCTAATAAACTAATATAAATACTCTTAAATAAGAATAGACTTTAAGTGTATACTGAAGTGGAAGCTCCTTGTATCTGACTTTTTACCTTAGAGTAATTGTTTCTTCAACAAGAATTTAACAACAGCTACACTAAACAGATTTTCTTGATCTGATAACAACATTTATATCCTTGCATTGTATCTCCTGTTTGAGTGTGTCACAATCGCAACTATGTCCAGTTTCTCTCTCTTCAATAGGATGATGTCAATACTTTGGAAATGACGGTTTTTAAATTTAGATTAATTCCTAGGACCTTTTGAAACACAGTAGAAGCAGAATAGAGATTTCTGCTTCTACAATTTAATCTGCTTTCAAAATGTTTGAGGAAGAAAGGAAATCCTAAAAATGGGAACACTTGTATGATAGAAACACTTGTATGTCTCACACACACACACACACACACACACACACACTTTTTGAAATTCACACAGTAAAAAATTAGACTAGGCCAAACTTTACCCTAATGTCTTATTAGTAACACAACAGTAAGTTAAGAATAATACTTTAAAGAGAATTTAAGGACAGCCACTAGCAACATAACAGCGGTTATTCATATCATAGCTTAACACCAAACAGCATTCAAGTTAAATTATAACCATGCAGCTAATAGTCACTGACCTGACGTACATGAATGCAGAGCACCAACTTCTTCAAATTCAGCTCTCACAAAGTTCAGAGAAGCACACTATTTGAAACCGCATACACAAATTCTTATTAAAAAAATAATACACAATAATACAAGTAATTTGTAACTTTATTTAACATTGTATTGTTGATCAATGTTACAAATTAAACACAGAACATGACAATGTGCGCCCTAAATACATAAAATGGATATTCCACTCATATCGCTCAGTCTGTGCAAAATACACATAACTTGCACATTCACTACCTGTCACTGACACACATACCAAAAAGTACAAATGTCTTACCTCAGCATCTCTACTCCTTGGTCTATTAAAAAAAAGGAGAGAAACAAAGATATACGGAGCACTGACGATTAGTTCTTGTTTTTAGTAAATGAAAACGCAAAATATGGATGACCCTTCTCTACTCTCAGTCTAATATTAGCCTGGACACATTTCCCTTGCTATTACAACGTGTGTTAGTAATACTGCATGTTCTTCTACGTGTGTGTGTGTGTGCATGTGTTAAGCAGAGTGAAACCCTAGCAGTGTGATGGCTCAAATGTCTGAAAGTGCAGCAGCAGCAGCAGACAGGGGCCATATGTTTTATCTATCACTGCAGTGCACATCACACACTAACATATTCATGCTTATAGTGATTCAAGCAGACACGTACATACACAGTCATATAATGTAAAAGGCTGTGTGTCCTGCAAGCATTCTACTCTGAGTAAAAAATGAAACAGGAGGGAGTTTCATTTCTCTGGTGAGGGACACTTGCATGAGCCAATAGCACTGCAGGACATATTTTACACAGTCCTCCGCTAATAAAAAAGAACTCAAACAAAACACACACTCATTATCACAGAGGCGCACATGATAATAATGTCTGCGCCTCTGATTTGGAATTTGATTTGGAATCAACTGATAATTGTATTGTCAATTGTACTGTGTGTACTGGCTGTGTTGTTATTGAGTTTTTGTGACATCATTGCATCGTCTAGACTTAGCTGGCTAAATCAATCAGGGCTGATGTAGTTGTTACATGCTAGGAAAGACATTAGAAAAGCAAATTCATTGCTTTTCAGAACACCTAGTTTAGATGACATCAAAGACGAAGCTAAAAATACAAATATCATGAAAAGAAGTGCATACTGACCGATTGTGTGTCTGGCAAATGTGTTTAAGACTGTCCAGATGTTGAGCTGCCAGGTCAGAGGGCGTTGTTTTAAACTGACTCTCTAAGATGGAAGAACACACAGAGATAGAGTTAGTACCAGCGTGTTACTAGCAATAAATGCTACGTAAGAAAACAAATAAAAACGGGCTTATAACTCTAAATGTGACTTGATATTATGGCGACTGAATCTATATTAAATATGTATTACTGTATATGACTGAAGTTTCCTGAATTCCATGACAGTACAGACAATGCTCCTGCTCAGCTCAACCAGGACACATGTGTGCCTACTCTTCAGTGCTTAGGTTGAGGGCAACTGGACTTTTTTTTAATGTTCATGAAGATGTTTTGCTTCCCTTTCAAGAACCTTCTTCGCTTCTGTACAATCCACCATATTGTATTAAATATGCAGATAAGTGTACTTATACGTTAGAAAAGCTAAGTCTTTCAAAAAGTTTAAAAACTAGATTTAAATTTAAAAAGACGCCAATTTAAATTACAGCTCTCTTCCCATTTTTTTTTTTAGATGAGTCTGCCTAAAGCACTGTTCAGAGGCATTACCAACATGGCTCCTGAGTGGCAAGACCTGTTCTTATAAGGGCTTTAAATCATACTGTGAGGCTGTTTTAAGCATGCGTGTTGATGCATGCAATGACAAACACAATATTCAGTAATACAGCAACCATGGATGTCTCCATGTTCATTTTGAAATATTATGAGCACTACTTTATCACAGCTTCTTCCCTGATGCTTAGGATAGAAGAAAGTCTTTATTACTAGCATGACCCTACAGGTCAACAGGTGTGTGCGTTGTGTGTTACCCCACTGCTGCTGAAGTGCATTCAGGTTATCCAATACTCTCTGGTGATAGTCTCTCTCTAGCTGGATGCACCATAACGCCCGCTGGTCTGAACACCACAGGTTAAGAAATGTAAAAAATAAGTAAATCAAAATGGCACACATGCACACCATCACACCACACTGGGAACGCTGAAAATTGCAGTAACTTTTAAACTCTTGTGGCTATCTGTTTGAAAACCATTAGAGTTGACAAAAGGGTATTTCTGAAAAAAAAAAAAGGACGACAGAGACAGAGAGAGGAGGAAGGAGAGGAAGGCCACGAGAGACAGAGGGGAACGCAGTGCACGATTCTGTCTCATGTTTATGGATATGAGCAGCGAAAACACAATCCTTCTTTGACGTGGCTCAATGCTTTCTCTCTCTTTCTAACTACCCCTCTATACATGCATGACATAGCTAAGCTGGCTTCCCTACTCTTTGACTTTTTCTGGTTTTCCCTCCCACTGTGTATCTTTCATCAGATTAAACCTCCAGTTCTTTCTCAGTCATGCTCTTCTGCCTTTCATCTTCCTCTTACTGTTTTACACTCAATCGTCATTGACTCCAAGTGCATTTTTGAGTTTTCTGTCGGTGAAGTATTCACTGTGTATATGTGCTATATGGAACTTATACAGTCCACGTCTTGAAAAACAGGCCAACTGTCTGCACAATGAACCACTACAATAATAAGCAACCATAATGAGCATTTTCAATGAGTAAACAAAAAAAAAGACAAGAAAATGAAGAAAACATAATTATAAAATACAGACTTGGCACTCAAACAATCCTGAAATTAAACTGTAGTAATAGTAGAAGTTCCACTGCTGCAAAATTAGCAAAAAAAAAATTTAAGTGGTTTTTAATCAGGTTTGAATGATTCTGAATTCTGAATATGCAGTTTTATATCACAGCCACCATTGAAATTAAAGTCATTTCACAAATGCTTCAATAACTAGAAAAAAGCGTAAAAATGGCTGACACGTGGCGAAACTTGCTTCTTTCTTCTTCTTTTTTTTTTTAACTAAAAGTGCTCTTCTTATCCCTCAAAAATCTTATGGCGTCATGCACTAGCGTAAAAATGATCAGCCAATTAGAAAACTTACAATGCTATAGTTTTTCTAACTCTATAGTATGTTTGTGCTTAGAAACTTGGATGCAGCACATTGACAAATAGAGCCTGGTCAGTGCTCTGTATACGGTTTATTTGAAGAGGCACAAATACACAGCAATGGTAGCCCAGATGACAAGTTTTGTGGAGTTGGGAGGCTGGTAGAGATGCTATAACTTCATGAGTGGGAAATTTGACCCGAGTGGATGTTCCCATTGAAAATTATGACTCAGAATTTGGGATTTCCCACTTCAAATATGTGAGCTGCATGTGCAGCAGTAAAAAATAAAAAATATATTACTAAATGAAAGACTGAAAGATGGTGAAAGACTTCCCATTTATTCATAAATAACTTGTAAAAACAATGCAAAAATGGAAACTAGTAAAAACTCATCTGTCCTTCTCTGAAAAGTATACTCTTCCAGCATTACATTACATTTTTCTTGTCATGTCATGAAAAGTGACTGAAGTTTAAAATTTGGAGCTAATCTTTCTTTGTGTTTATCTACCTCGTAAACCTTGAGGCTTTCTTTGAAAGCCAGCTCAGATTTAAGCACGATTTCACTCTGATTCCTCCACACTTCCTCTTTTCATTTTTGCCTCATTTAATCTGTCTCTTCCTTCCTTCTTACTGTTGAGTCACATCTGCCCGGACAAGCAGGCAAGAAGCACACAGGAGAAAAGTGTGAGAAACGTTTTGCACAAGTCAAAATAAAAGCTTGGCCACCCCATCAACACACCAACAGGACCACAAGGATACAATCTCCATGAAGGACAAAGGCCTCAGCAATCTGTAGAGAGAGAGATTACAGCTTTTAATAAAGTGCATGTGTGCTTTCAACTCATCAGTCACAGAAGCCATCAAGGAAACAGGTTAAATTGGGGTTTAAAACCAGACTGAAACTAATCCTCACGTAGAGGGATTCCTCAACATGACACAAGTGTCAAAGATTTCCTTATAGAAAACTAGAAAAAAATTATACAAATATGTAATTTAGAAACACAATACAGTACAGAAGAAGCTGTCCTTCTACTGCAGCAATAAATTCTATAATCATTAACCATGCCAATGAAGAAAAACATATAATCTGCTCTTTGTGACACACAACAAAGTAAGCTGTTAGGTCAGACACACAAGTGAGCGAAAATGAGAGAGAAAAGAAAAACAGCAAGGGAGAAAAAACGAGAGACCATGGTCGACACTCTACCTCTTTTCAGTGTCTCTTGTTCAGCTGATAACAGAACAGGAGAAGTGTGTAAGAGAAAGAGAGAGCGCGAGAGGAGGAGGAGGAAAGGAGGGCACAAAAAGCTCTCGCATTTCTAATGAAGTGCGGGGTGGTGACAACTCAGTGACCTTTTCTAGGTAACTGTGCCGGGATGGTTTAGATACAAGAGGAGTTTAAAGCTGTTTCCAGTCTCTTCTGCAAATAACCATCTGCTGCACTAAAAATACAGATCAATTTAAAATGGATTTATTTGTCCCCACACCAATTATGACTAATATATAACATATTCACTGACATAAATAAATAAAATATACTTCTCCATAAGTTTTCATTGTTCTACTTTGTGACCAAACAAAGAGCGTTTAAAGATTATACATATACTGGACTGTCTAGAAATTACTCCAAGAATGTTTCTCTGTGGTTAACACACACACACAGCCATCTTTAGACTTTGAACCTCATTTTTACCCCCTCATTGCTCGCTGCTTTCCTTTTCTGTTTGTTGTCCTACAATTCATATTTATGCTAATGACGCTAGTTTCAAAGCTGGCAGTCATTCATGACCCCAGCCTTTCTCTCCCTCCCTCATTTTTACACCACCAATGATGTAAATCCCCCACTACAGAGGCATGTTTGCTATGCCATTTTTCCATCTGTCCCTCCCCAACAAAGCCAGAGTATGTTCCCTTTAGTAATTCTGTTGATCTGTCAGCAGGGCAACACAAAAACCAATAAAGTGGCACATGACCATTGTGGCAACACCAGATATTGCTCTTTAGAATTATGGGATAGGGTAAAGGACTTAATGGAGTACTGCACTCTTCAAGCACCCTTTCAGTTTGCCAATCCAGTTTTATCCTAATCAGCAGCTAAAACTTTGAGTGGCTTTATAGTTTATAAATTGAACAAAGACAAATTTAAGATGTTTAAAATAGTAACTTCTATAATCATTTTCCCAGTGGGTGTTATTTTTGTAATGTAGACAAAAGGTGTGTGCTCATGAATGAAGTGACATTAAGTGTGAGCACGCCCATGAAAAGCCTAAGAACTTTTCCAAAGCAAGTCCAAAGGGGTAGCGATGCCCTGATTGACCAACAAATGACCTGAATTTGCAGATTCTGAGCATTCTCAGACCTGACTGCTGATCGGCCAGTCAGCCTCACATGACAATGACATGCTAGTCCCTTTCATTTATGTGTGATTGCCGTGTACACACTCACAGTCATCTACTAACATGTTGTGGAAGCTCTTCACTGTAAGCGAAGACACAAAGTTCACCAAACTAAGATGTAGGGCGACCACCACAATAACATTCGTACCAACAAACCTAATCAGGCTAAAGTGGCTATCAAAGGAAAGCGATCCCAAGCTCAGAAACAGCCACAAGCCAGCAGCCTCAGTACGGCTAATAAATCAAAGGAGTAGTGAGGAAAATGACAAAAACCGAGTTTATAACTTCACCAGATGCTCCAATATCTGGAGAAGTAAGAAATATATGGGTGATGTAAGTAGCTGACATTTGTTTTGCTATATAAATCGGTTGCACCTGCTTTCGTTTGTTTTGTTCGTAGGAAGCAAAACAAATGGTCCCCACTTACTCACTGTGAATGGTTTTGACCTTTACCTGATCCATTCGTACACGGGCGCGATCACTCTCAAACTTTGGACTATGTAACTAGCAGGGTAAAGGCCACTTAATGTTTGATCCACCTGCTTCTTCACTGCAACTGCAAAGAAGTGATGTCTAAAAAAGTTTGAGGCTCCAGTGAATGTGTGAACGCAGATGTAGACACCTGTTTGCCTGGAAGTAAAAATAGGCTGGGCGTGCCCTTTAGAGATATTTAATAATCAAACTGACAGAAATATTCAAACATTCACACACCCCAGGAGCCGCATGTTCAATCATGCAGGTCTGTACGGAGCATCTAGGAAGATAGAAACACTCAGGATTTGTGTGTTTATCTACTGTCCATGAAGCTTTTTAGTGTACTTATATGCATACCTGAATTTTAGTTTGTGTTACTGAAGACACACCTGCTTTAGGGTACAAAGTGCCACTGCAATTATGAGGTTGAGTGATTTATTAACAACTGTGAGAGCAAAAGTTTAGAGAGACTCGAATGAGAGAAAGCAACAAAGTATTTAAGAGCACTGAGTTCAAATGAGACACAATCAGTGATGGTAAGTGGCAGTAGTGTTTGCAGTACCTGGTGAAGGGACTGTGGAAGGTGGCTGTCATCTCCTCTTTGTGCCAGCTGCTCAAGGGACTCCAACAGAGCACAGCCTGGAATAGATCCTGAGGCACAGGCGGGAACTGAGAAACAAGTGGTGACTGGAGTGGAGGTAATGTATTCCTGATTTGATAATGAAGGTCCTGTGATGGAGGTGGAGTCTGTTCCAGTAGTTGTAATCCCCATGGTGAAGTTGAGGGGCTCTTGGGATGCACTCACAGCGGATGAGGCAGTGGAAGTGTTAAACTTTGCTAACTCAGTTAACGTAAATGTCTCTGTAGCTGAGGTGTTATATCCTGCATGTGAACCGGTAGACCCTCTAGCACCTTTTGGCCCACAGTTTAAGGCAGGCTCCGTGGATGAGGTAAGTTGTTCTGTAGTGAAGTTTGTATTTTTTGCTATTCTTTTAGTAGTTTCTGTGACACATGTAGGCTCAGTGCCTGAGGTTAATATTTGCGATGTACAATCCATCGGCCCCGTACTGAAAGCAGATCCATGTGTGCAGGTGATAGACGCCATGGAGTAGGCACCTGATCCAGTTTTTGACATACGAGTGTCCATTTCAGCATCATTCTGGATCAATTCCACTGAACTGATGGGATATACGGTTTCTGGACTGCCCGCTGGAATGACTGGGGATGTAGGCTCTGGACTGGTTCCAGGACTAAAAGGATAAGGATTCTCCAACAGGCTCCCTGTGGATGTAAATAAAGACATTAGCAAACAGGAAGAAAGATAAGAGGAAAACAGACAATTACTGAGGAACTGCAAATATGCCAGTGTGTAAAAAAATTTAAAATCAACACGTTCCTCCAGAGAAGCAAACTGATTATGAATATATAACCACAGTCATATTTTAATCACTTCAGAAGACATTAAGTTCCTTGAGACTTACCCTAATGACTTCTTCCCTAATCCAAATCTTAATTCTAACTCTAAAGACAACCACATTATCTTATTAACTGAGTCTTCATCTTAAAATTGAATGACTGACATTATAGGAACTGTTATATCCTTACAAAGCAACTATGTAAACAGACTGTTTCCCTACAATTTACATAATACAAATACATTATGGCAATATATTATCCCTGTTATTATTCCATCAGTGCATGAACACACCCACCCACACACACACACACACACACAGTTGTAGATAAGTCAATGCTGGCTGCTAACAGGCTTTAAGGCTTACAACCAATAAACACACAAATGTAAATATGGGAACTGTGCTAAGCTCACAGTTTTGCAGTGGCTTGCCGACACAGCTGTTTGTGTGTTTGCAGCATGTGTGTGTACGCCAATGCAGGAGAGAACAGGAGTGAACTTGTGAGCTATCAACTGGTTTTACTCTGTTTTGACACAGACAGTGGCAGAAACTTTAAGTGTGCTTATGC